CGCATTGCTCAATCACTTTTCCAAGGCATAGACATTGAGGGCCGCACAGCTGCCATGAATGCAATGGGCACCTGCAGGCAGCCACGATCCAATCGTAAAACGAAAGCCCTTCGATGCTCACGGCCAACTTGAGTTCTCGTTCCAAGCATTGATTCCGATGCTTGCCATGCTGAAGAGTTTCGGCAGCCCCTAGGTGAATAAGTACTATATGCTTACACCACGGGTCCAATTCATGGAGTTTTAGCAATTTTCACCCGATTCACACATCAACTTTTGGAGGCAGTGGCGTTGGGCTATCCATTTGTCGGGGGCCACCGAAGCCTATGGTAGTCTATTGGACAGGTTATGCCAACCACCTGAGGCTGAGGGAGATGGGGCCGGAAGCGGACGTGGTGGCCTGGAAACCCAGCCACAAGAGCAAGTGTTTTGGGTTTATGTAGCATATGCAGAGCAGAATAAAACATCCAAGCAACGATGCTGCCGATGCGTTTATTGTTCTGTCTTTTCGAATTTGTGTCCCACATCCTGAGTGGTTCGATTCGACTCCTTTCGCTTGGATTTACATCTCGAGCCTCCCATAAGCCTCCCATAAGCGGACAATGTACAGCAGGTGGAGGACTTTTGCCTACTTCGAGTTATGTGAGGGGTTCCACTGAGGCCTGGAACCAATGTATCAATGCTTGCGCCAAGGGCCGCTCTTGGAAGCAGGCTGGGGCATGTCGCGATTCTGTTTCTCAGCAATGGGAGACGATCCGAGAGCCCAGGCTCTTCAACTGCTTTTTGATGAACTGCAACAACCCAGCCTTCGTGGCACGTTGGAGGGCATGCGTCCCAGCGAATGCTCGATGCAGTGTGGAATTGGGAGACCAAAGATCCAAAATTACGTTTGGCTCGAATTGTTTTCCAGTGAACATTTCCGTCCAGCTTGCGAGTGTGATGACGGAAACTTATCCTACCGGAAGCCATATCACGAAAGGTAGCGGTTACGCTACCTGAGTTTTCCTTTTGCTTTAGCAAAAATGTATTAACCCAGAGCTGCAGCCTATCTCTCGGAGAAATGGTCCCCGACATCTTCGTTTGCTGGCCGGGGGGGGGGGGCCCCCCCCC